AGCGTGAACAGGTTCGCGTCTTTCTCAAGCGCAGCCAGTGGAAGGGCTCGGCGGGACCGGGTACCGCCGCCGAGGTTCTCGAGCGAGTCTGGTCGGGCCAGGTGAGCGACTGGCGCGCAGGTGTCAACTACTTTGGCAAGCCGTTCATGACCTAGCCTTCTTGTTTCATCAAGCCATTCATTGTTCAATCCCTCTTTACTGTCCAGACTCCTGGCACTCTTCAGACTCATTTCTGGCCTTGCTAATCCTACCAAGTCCAAGTGTCTAGCCATGATTCCGTTAGCGTGTGAGTCAGAGCGAGGGCAGTGTCACTTTGTTGGTTTCGTGCGACGGTGGAAGGGAGAGTGTGAGCCATATTCTGTAGGCGAAACTGTGCAGAGAGCCCCGAATCCATCAGATGAATCTCGCTCTCTGCCAGCCATCAGACAACGCTGTCCAGTTGGTAAGCGAAGCAGGCGGGCGTTCTTTGACTAAGTTGCAATGGCTAGCTGGAAGAGTTGTTAGACCAGGGTACTATATACATGATATTTGAATTTAAATTCATGGAATATACAGAATACAAATTCGAAGTGCAGCAAGATGTCTGCTAATCCATCCACGTACTACAGTACTGTATTTGTGAGTGTAGCTGGGCCAAGCAAGAAGGAAGCTAAGTCGTCCGTCTGTGCGGCCTTTAGAGTCCAACTTGCGTGCAACGTGGAAGAATGTGAGGTGGACAAGGTCATGTGGGCAGCCTCCGTCGTGCTTTCTCCCATGGGTTGACTGTCTGTCAAGGCACTCTACTCTGTCTCTCTTGGTATCAAGATCGATCGTACTCTTCCCGGGCTACATGGCAAGAATGAATGGACGAAGCATGACCACTAGCCAAACGGGTGATCATAGTTAAACCGGGCGAAAGGTGGAACCACAGCAGAGCGTGGGGCGAGTTTAAAGGAGGAGGTGTGTGGCCGAGCGGTTTTTGGAACACTGGGCTCGTGGGTAGTGTTGGTCTTTGCTTGCTTTTTAGTGAGCGAGAGAGTGACTGAGAGAGAGTCGGCAGCAACAACGAAGGCATCACACTACAGTACTGTAGCTCCCCCGCTCGCCAAGATCAATTCAGCCTCAGTCTCCGTCTCAGCCTCCTCCGCCTCAGCTTCCTCAGCTCGCGCGCCGTTTGGTCGTTGGGTCGTGCGACCCGTCATTTAGCATTATTGTTCTTCACAAAGCACACCAATTACTGTATTCCACAGCGTTGGCGCGTTGGGCGGTCGTTGCATGTGCACACATCGCTCGCACTGCAACTGTACAGTGGCTGGCTGGCTGGCTGGCTGGCCCGCACCGCACATTCCAACACATGGTCGGCACCCGCTTCTTCCTCTTTCCCACCTCCTCCTACCACTCACACAGCTTTTCCTCTTTCCAGCATACTACTCGTCCTGACATTTGCGTTCGAGCCTGTTCACTTTCTTTCTCTGTTCATTTTCTCACGAGCCGACCACTCGGCTTTACTCTTTCACTCCTTTGTTTCTGCCTCTCTCTCGCAATCATGTCGTTCGCAGCATCAGCAGCATCAGCAGCAGCAGCCCCCGCACCAGCAGCTTCCGCAGCATCAACCTCGTCAACCGCGGCGCAAGGCACAGGTCCTGTTGCCGCCGGTGCCGCAGCTCCACTAGTGCCAGCACTCAAGAGCGCCATCGTCCGAAGCGTGCTCAGCGGCGACACCATCGTCATCCGTCCCAAGGGTGTCAATATTCCCGGCAAGGAAGAGACTGTCCACATTGCCGGCATCGCTGCCCCCCGGCTCGGCTCTCGCGAGCGTGACGATGACCCGCAGGCATTCCCGTCCCGAGAGTATCTGCGTCTGCTCACCGTCGGACGCGAGATCCGCTATCGCATCGAATACACGGTTCCCGCACCTGCCGCCGTCCCGGGCAGTGCTGTTGCCCAGCCGCGTCAGTTCGCCCATGTCTTCCTTCCGCCCAAGGGTGCCGGTCTACCCGACACCAATGTTGCCCACGAGATCCTCGCCGCTGGCTGGGCCAAGGTGCACGACTCGGTCGCCCGTCGAGCCGACGAGGCCGACGACGGCAGCTGGAAGCAGAAGCTCCGCAGTGTCCAGGACGAGGCACAGGCTGCTGCGGTAGGCCTCTGGGGTCCCGACGACCTGCTCAAGGTAGACCACTCGATGCCCGAAGACACAGCAGCTTTCCTGGCAGAGTGGAAGGGCAAGCCTGTCGAGTCGATCGTCGAGCAGGTGCGCGACGGCAGCATGCTGCGCGTCCGTCTGCTCCTCTCCTCCAACCACCACCAGATGGTAAATCTCAGTCTGGCCGGCATCAAGGCTCCCCGCGTCACCGGCGGCGGCGGTGCCAGTCCCTCGGACGTCAGCGAGCCCTTTGGCGAAGAGGCCAAGTTCTTTGTCGAGAGCCGCCTTCTCCAGCGAAACATCAAGGTCACGCTGCTCTCGGTTCCCCAGCCCGTTGCCGCCCCTACGCCCTTTGCCAGCACCGTCTCGGCTGCCCCTGCCCCGCCGCAGCCCACCGCCACTGTACTGATCGGTCTCGCCATCCACCCTGTCGGAGACATTGCCCAGTTCCTCCTCGCCGCCGGTCTGGCCCGGTGCGTCGACTGGCACGCTGGCATGCTCGCTTCGTACGGCGGCATGGAAAAGTACCGTCAGTCGGAGCGCACCGCAAAGGAGAAGCGCCTCAACCTGTGGCAGTCGTACACTGCACCTGCTTCTTCGGCCGCAACCCTATCGAGCCAGCCCGTGGCCACGCGTACATTTGACGCCGTCGTCTCGCGCATCATCTCTGGTGACACGATCCAGGTCCGCCGACAGCTTCCGGACGGCAAGCTTGGGCCCGAGCGCCGCATTCAGTTCTCGTCGCTGCGCCAGCCACAGGTCAAGGACCCGAAGCAGGCCGGCTATGCTGCCGAGGCGCGCGAATTCCTCCGCAAGCGGCTTGTCGGCAAGAATGTCACGGTGCAGATGGATTACATCAAGCCCAAGGACGGCGACTTTGACGAGCGCGAGTACGCTACCGTTCGTCAGGGCAAGCAGGATGCCGACGTGGGTCTGCTGCTCATCTCGCGCGGTCTTGCCACGGTGCAGCGCCACAAGCGCGACGACGAGGACCGCTCGCCCGAGTTTGACCGACTGATGGAGGCCGAGGCCAAGGCCGCGTCCGAGAGCAAGGGCATCCACTCTGGCAAGGAGCTGCCAGCTCCCCGCATGGGCGATGCCTCCGAGAGTGCCGGCAAGGCCAACACGTTCCTGCCGAGCCTCAAGCGTGGTGGCCGTCTCACGGCTGTTGTCGACTTTGTGGCCTCAGCCTCGCGCTTCAAGCTGATCGTGCCGCGGGAGAATGTGCGACTCACCTTTGTCCTTGCCGGCATCCGAGCGCCCAAGACGGCCCGCAATGCGTCGGAGAAGGACGAGCCGTTCGGCCGCGAAGGTCTCGAGTTCACCACGATGAAGGCCCTGCAACGCGACGTCGAGATCGAGATCTTCAGCACCGACAAGGTCGGTGGCTTCATCGGCGCACTGTATCTCAACAAGTCCGAGAATCTGGCTGTCTCGCTCGTCGAGAGCGGTTTTGCACACGTCCATGGCTACAGCGCCGAATCGACGCCGTTCTACAACCAGCTTGCCGAGGCCGAGGAGCGCGCAAAGGGTGCCCGCAGCGGTCTGTGGCACGACTACGACGCAACTGCCGAGGCTGCCGAGTATGGCGACGAGATTGCTGCTTCCAACGGTAATGGCCGCGCTGGTAATGGTGCCACCGGAGGTGCCTGGGGTGGCGCAAGCAACGGGCGTGGTGCTGCTGCCGGCGGTGCGGCTGCTGGTGGTGCGGCTGCGGCTGCACCTGCCCCTGCTCGAACCGAGTACGTCGACTGCATTATCTCGGACGTGCGTGGCTCATCGGGTCCCGAGGATCCTTTCGGCTTTAGCATCCAGGTGCTCAACGACCAGATCCAGGAGCTCGAGAAGCTCATGTCGGACTTTTCGCTCTATCATCAGTCGCCAACTGCTGCGGGCGGTGCGTCGTTTGTGCCCCGGGCCGGCGATCTGGTCTCGGCCAAGTTTTCGCAGGACGGCGCATGGTACCGCGCGACGATCCGCAAGGCGTCTCCCGGTCTCAAAGAGGCATCGGTGGTGTTTATCGACTACGGCAACAAGGAGACTGTCAAGTACCGGGACTTGCGACCGCTGGATTCTGCTCGATTTGGACGAACGCGCCTGCCCGCCCAGGCGCGCGAGGCCCGACTGTCGTTTGTGCGCCTCTACGATGGCAAGCAGCAGGAGTACGTCGAGGAGGCACTGGACCGATTCCGTGCCATCGCGGCCGAGGGTCGAAAGATGATTGCCAACATTGACTACGTCGAGCCGGGCACCAACGTGATCCACGTCAGCCTGTACGACCCGGAAAGCCCCTCCATCGGTCAGTCGCCCGAACAGGGCTGCATCAACCACGAACTCGTCCGCGACGGCTACGCACTCCTAGACGACAAGGTGCGGTACTGGAAGAGCTACCCCAAGATGACGGACGCTCTCGTCAAGGCCATCGCCGAGGCAAAGTCTCGTCACCGCGGCTGCTTCGAGTATGGTGACCCCACCGAGGACTAGATGCGAATCTTTCCACTTGGCGCTGTCATCATCAGCACAAAGAACACGACATATCCACCAACACAAGCGCAGCACTCATCGAAAACGAATGACCTGTGTGCCATCGTGGATCGATCAGACAAGCCGCCATTCTGGTTTTGGCATCTGCCTCTTTCTCGACTGCACAGGACTCGGCATTAAATCACCTCTATCATTTGCAGCATCAAACAATGATTAACTCCAGAATCGTTTGCTCGGCGTTTGTGATCTCGTTGATTTGTGTGATGGTCCAGCCGACTATATTATCATAATTGGTGACATGAAAGGGTTGTGATGCTGAAGAGATTGTGTGGTTGGCAGCTAGGCATTACTGTGTAAAAAAGAGAAGAAAAAGAGGAAAACGAAATAAGAAAGTGGAAGGTGGGAATCGAACCCACGACCTCAAGATGTTTGTTGCACAATTGCAATCTCACGCCAAACCACTAAGCCTCTCCCACGTTCTTCGTCACGGCAGTGGCGGTACTGCATTATATACGTCCAATAGCTTTTGAGAAAAAGATTTGTTAGCCGAGGGCTTGCGGAGGTGATGGCAACCTGACGAGGCAAGGCCGGTATTTCCAGAATCTGCACTCTCCACATGCAACCCAAATCGCGGGGGACGGTCAACAATACATTAATGTATTATTCAGTGCTGTACAGTACTGTACTGTACTGCGTCGGGTTTGTGCGCGGATCGGCGAAATTACGTCGACTCGTTGTAGGCAATACAGTACGTATAATGTGTGGGGGCACAGGAGCCGGAGATTATTGTTCTCTACTGCGAGGATTGTATTGTACACAGTACTGCACTAGACCGACTACATACAATCCTCGCTTGTGTCTGTGCTTGACGTCGTACAATGTACTACAGTACAGTACTGAGTACTCTGCCGAGCGAGGAGCAGTGGCCTGCATAGTACTACTGTAGTGTACCGTGACACGAGTCTGTCCGCTTTCGAGCCCTTGGGCTTTTAGGCCCTGTGCGTGTGGTGGACAGGCCTCGATATACACACGCTCACGGTGCAAGGGGGTTCGGTACATGAGTCGCACGACATCCTACAAATGTCCAGGTTGGTGGGTCCTTCCGTCCATCCATCCCTCCTATCCTAACCTTTATTTTGTACCACCGACAATCTTGCTAAGATCCTTCCTCCGCCTCCTTCTCTCTCTCTCTTCACCAACAGACTATCTCTGTAGCACACCTTTGAATCGCCATCATGCCGCTCGAAGGATCATGTCTGTGCGGGTCGGTGCAGGTCTCCGTATCCGACTCGGCCCTGCCACTGACCACCGCGATCTGTCGCTGCACAAACTGCCAGCAAACAGCCGGCTCGATGTACTCGCTGGTGTCGATCGTCGAACAATCCCAGCTCACCATCACCGGCGAAACCAAGATCTACAACGACACCACCCCCGACAGCGGCAACACCACCCAGCGTTACTTTTGCCCCGCCTGCGGCAGCCCCATTCAGACCGTCGGCCCCTCTAGACCCGGTAAAACCGTCGTCAAGTGCGGCCTGTTCGCCAAATCCCTCAACAAACAGTTCCCCAAACCCGCCATCGAGATCTTTGACAAGAACACAAATGCCTGGGAATCCCACGTCGACGGCTCAAAGACGTTCGAGACCCGTGCTCAGTAGATCTCTCTCTCTTTTTCTCTCACGTACCTGCCCCCTTCAATCACGTTTCGATAGAGAGACTGACCCAGATCCAAGTCGTTGCGGTCTGGAATGCATGTAATCCGATTCTAATATTACGCTACGAAAGCAAGAATTCCCAGGAGCGTGTCTACGTAATCTAAAGGTGGACGTGTCTAGGCGTCGGCCGTAGAGCTCTGGCTATCTGGTTCCGAGTCCTGTGTCTGTGGCTGCTGAGGTGATGTCGGTTTTGGGTCGTTGCTATTGGTAAGTTCGACCTCTTGTACTGGCCAGCATACGAGGAAGTAGAGGACGTTGACGGCAGTGATGAGGGCAAAGATGGACTTGATGCCGAGCATGTATGCCTTTTGTGCGGCATGTCGAAGCGGTTCCGGGTGTAGGGTGGGGACGAGGGAAGCATCGTGTCTGATATCGGAGATGAGCTTGTGTACGCCTTTCCAGCCGTCGCTTGGATTGGGGAGCAGATCGGGTGTAATGTTTCTGGCCAAGGAGGACGAGAGAATCATTTGGAAAATCGCAGAGGCAAGACCGACGCCGACAACGCTTCCGAGGCTTCGGAAGAGATACACGTTTCCAGTGGCAGTCGCCATATCCTCTCGTCTGACCGACGAGATCATTGCGAGGAGCATAAACGTAAAGATGGCGCTGGTTCCAAACGCCTGCGGCATAAACGTGACGTACTCTGCAAGGACCGACGTGTTTTCGTTCCACGTCGCACCGTAGCCAGTGGAAACGATGTTGAGAAGGCAGCAGATGATGTTGGCACGCCAGTACTTGCCGGTTCGCTTCATATACAGACCTGCCCAGAGGCTTCCTGCAGCCGCGCTGAACGAGATCGGGATGAGATGGACACCAGCCTTGCTCGCACTGAGCAGACGAACCGACTGGAACCACAGGGGAAAGTGAAAGATGACAGCCATGTGCGCACCGGCACCAAGGAAGTAGGACGCACTGACGAGGCCCGGCGTTCTCCTCGTAAGGAGCCAGAGCGGCATGATGGGCTCCTTGACCACCTTTCCCTCCACCAGCACAAACAGCCCGACAAACACGGCGAATCCGAGCAAGAGCCCCCACACCCGCACGTCCGAGAACGGGAGGCCTTCTCCCGACAAGAAGTTCATGGCGACCAGCAGACAGCTCGAGAGCGAGATGAGCATGATCGAGCCGAGGTAGTCGATTCTGGCGAGCTTCTTGCGCAGTGGCTGACCTGTGGAAGGGAGAGGGATGTTGACAAAGGTGGCGATGCAGGCGCCTCCGATCACGAGGAAGGGCACCTGTGAGCCAAACGCGACTCGCCAGCCATAGCTGTCGTTGATGAAGCCGCCGAGCGGGCCACCCATGGCCGACGCGGTTCCAAATAGGATGTTGGTGATACCTTGCCACAGGCCCCTGTCTCGGAGCGGGATGACGTCTGACATGATGATGGAGCTGGAGCTGAGGATACCGCCTCCGCCAATACCCGCCACGAACCTGCCGACGAGCAGCTGATCCATAGTGGCGGCCAAGGCGCAGAGGCAAGTGCCGGCTGTGAAGAAGGAGAGTGCCACGAGGAGGGCACCTTTGCGGCCGATGATGTCAGAGAGACGGCCGTAGATGGACGAAAAGGCGCAGACCGAGAGGAGATACGAGGTGCTCAACCAGCCAGACTTTTCGGAAGCCTTGAAGGAGGAGGAGATGGAGTTGATGAGCGTCACGACGATGGTGCCGTCGAGCGCGGCCATGAAGAGCACCACCCAGAGCGAGCCAATGATGACGGCGAGCTTGAGGCCGTGTGGACGTGGAGGTTCGACCTCGTTGAGCGTGGGTGTCGGTGATGCATCTTGGCTGCTGCTGTCGGTGCCGTAGCTGGTCCGGTTGGCGTTGGCCGCACTGCCGTTGACAGAAGGTGCGCCGTTGAGGGGTGTCCTCTCGTCGACAGTGGGTGGCGGCATGTTGAACGATGCCTACGGGGCCAGATTGGCTGGGGTGTTCTTGCAAGGCTGCTGGTCTACAACGAGACGAAGAGCATGTAGTACAGAAACAAGAAGGAAAGAGCAAGCAGACAAGTCAAGAGGAGGATGAAAAAGACGTTCTACGGGGCCATGCTGTTGGACAGCAGTGGTGTATGTACAGCTAGTAGCTAGTAGCTGATTTACACCGGAAGAGAGGATTCCGATGTCAGGAACTGCGGTGCATGTGGACAAAGGTGCTAACGGTAACTGTAAAGTGAATCACTGTTGTGGGGGGCAAATGCGCGTCCCATAATGACCGTTATCGGCGCAATTGGCGGCCAAATTTCCTTTGTCCGAAGTTGCCGGGCCGAGATGCTAACCTAACAAGCTGCCAAGAGATGATGAAAGCATCCGGTGTCTCTGCGAGAGTCTGAGATGTGTACTGTACTGCTTGCACCAAGCGACTGCCCCTTTCCCAGGCAAACGCAGAAGGAAAAAGACGCATGAGACTGCAAACAATAATTAGCTCGATGGACCTGGACCCTTATTTGTCGTTACCGCTATCCAGTCTGAAGAATCGCCCGTCGTCCGTCACTTGGTTTGCATTGCCGTACTTGTCGACGCTGATACCTCGACAGACAGCTCCAGATCAAGATGGCGAAACAGTTCTTTCAGTAATTTCTCGACTTGTGATGTTTCGTGATGTCCGCAACGGCGACTACGCAGACGGAGCCCATTGCGCTGCTGCGCCTGCCATCAGGGAGCCGGAATGCAGTGCAGCAAGAACCACCCAAAGACGCCTCGCACATCGACGACCCGAGCCAGCGCATCTCCATCGCGGACAGGTACGATGACACCGACGCCAGATCCGAGACCGATGCCACCGGTGCCGAACCCGCCTCTGGTCCTCGGGATCTCGACTTTCGAGGCACGCTGTTGCTCGCCGTCCAGCATGCTTCCTCGTCGTGGGGGTTCCGATCTGCCGAGTTTGCCTATCCGCTCTACATGGTCCAGCTGTTTACCAACACACTGCTACCGGCCTCGATATATGGCTTTGTGACGACGGCCGGTGCAATACTCTTCTCTAACACGGTGGGTCGCACCATAGATCGGTACGGTCACCAGAAGCTACGGACGCTTCGGATCTTTATCCTCTCGCAAAAGCTTCTCGTCGCTGCCTCGTACGGGCTTTTTCTGGTACTCTTCAGCTCGAGCTCCTTGCGTCAAGAGGCCGAGAACGGAGGTATGGGCAACGCACGGCCCTGGCTCATCTTTACTGCCATCTCTATGCTGGGAATTGGCGTCATCCTGTCCAACGTCGGCGTGAGTGTAGGCGTCGAGAGAGAGTGGGTCACCATCATCAGCGATGGCTCGTCTGCCCGCCTCACCCGACTCAACGCCATCATGCGCCGCATCGACCTCATCTCGAAACTCGCCAGTCCGCTCTTTGTCTCGGCACTCACCACCGCCATCAGCTACACGGCCTCGGCAGTCATTCTGCTCGCCGTCTGTGCCCTTTCGGCTATCTTTGAACTGCTCTTTATCGGAATCGTCTACCGACGCTTCCCCATGCTTGCCCTGGATGAGCAAGAAATCACCAAGCGAAGACAGACTGCAGAGCAGCGTAAGCAGGACGAGATGCAGCAGCAGAGGCGAGAGCAGGACCAAGTGCAAGTCACACGCCGCTCCAGGTTCAAGCGAGTGGTCTCGAGACTCTCGACGAGCATCAAGAACGACTTGGTGCAGCAGTATCGAGACTGGGCCTTTTTTGTACGTCTGCCCATCTTTCTCACTTCGCTGTGCATCTCGCTGCTCTACATGTCGGTGCTGTCATTTGACCCGACATTTATCGCCTATCTCAAGTCCGAG